AGTACAAGACGGAGGATGCCGGGGCAAAGAAATTCGTCGTCGGCAAATTTCTTGACTTCAAGATGGTTGACACGAAGACTGTCGTGTCACAAGTGCAAGAGTTCCAGCTGATCTTGCACGATATCCATTCTGAAGAGATGACTTTGAGCGAGTCATTTCAAGTAGCAGCTGTGATCGAGAAGCTACCGCCAGGCTGGAAGGACTTCAAGAACTATCTCAAACACAAGAGAAATGAGAAAAGTCTTGAAGACCTAGTTGTTCGTCTTCTTATTGATGAGGACAACCGTAATTCTTCGGGCAAAAGCCCGATATTTGAGGCTCGTGCGAACTTGCTGGAGCAAGGCAATTAGAGCAAAAGGAAACCCCTTAACAAAGGGAATCAACCCGCCAAGGTTTGGAAATTTACTGGAACTTGTTACAACTGTGGAAAGCCAAACCATATGGCGAAAGACTGCAAGAGGCCAAAGAAGACTGGGCCAAATAAAGGGCAACCAAGTGCCCTTGTTGCTGAACACGGCCCTGTGCAGGGTGAATTGACCGACTTTGATATGTCGGCGGTGGTGTTTGAAGCCAATTTGGTGAATAACCCAAGGAAGTGGTAATCGATACTGGTGCCACTCGTCATGTGTGTTCCGACAAGGAGGTGTTCTCTAAATACACTCATGCTACGGTTGGGAAACTTCACATGGGAAACTCCTCCACGTTTGATGTGGCTGGAGTGGGCACGGTGGTGCTGAAGCTCACTTCTGGAAGGGAGTTGAAGCTGAAGGATGTTCTGCATGTCCCAGACATCCGCAAGAATTTGTTCTCCAGATCACTTCTTGTTGAGCATGGATTTAGGCTGGTGTTTGAAGCTAAGAAGTTTATTCTTAGCAAATATGGAAAATTCCTTGGTCGTGGTTATATCGACAAGGGATTGTTCAAAATGAATGTAATGGTTGTAAGCCGTGTAACCATTGATAATAAAAAGTCTATTTCTGTTTATACTGTTGAGTGCTCTGATTTATGGCATATTAGATTAGGACATGTAAATCTAAATGCAATTAAACGGTTGATGAAACTAGAATTAATTCCTAATTCTAAAGTTGAGACAAATACAAAATGTGAAATTTGTATTGAAGCAAAAAATGGCTAAGTTACCTTTCCACTATGTGGAAAAGAGTACTGAACCATTAGGCTTGATCCATACTGATGTGTGTGATATGAAAAGTGTACAAACAAGAACCGGTAAAAAGTATTTTGTAACTTTTATCGATGATTGCGCAAGGTTTTGCTACTTATATTTGTCAAGAAGCAAAGATGAGGTTGTGGAAGCGTTTAAGATATATAAGACCGAAGTTGAAAATCAACTCGGCAAAAGGATTAAAATAATCCGAAGTGATAGAGGTGAGAAGTATGTATGTCTTTTTGAACAAATATGTTCTGAATATGGCATAATTCATCAAATGACGGCCCCTTATTCTCCACAGTCGAACGGTGTTGCTGAACGCAAGAACTGTACGTTAAAAGAAATGATGATGCCATGTTGAAAAATTCAGGTTTACCACAGAACATGTGGGGGGAAGCTGTTTTAACAGCAAATCACATCCTGAACAAAATACCACCTGAAGGAAAAATAAGACTCCTTATGAAATGTGGAAAAATCGTAAGTCGTCTTATAATTACCTGAAAGTGTGGAGGTGTTTGGCTAAGGTTTCAGTACCTGAACCTAAACAAGTAAGAATCGGACCAAAGACCGTCGAGTGTGTATTTAGTGGATATGCGTACAATAGTACAACTTATAGATTTCTGGTTCATAAATCAGAAAATCCAGAGGTATCTGTTGGTACCACGATTGAGTCAAGGAATGCTATATTCTTTGAGAATGTTTTTCCTATGAAGGAAAAGGCAGAATCTAGTTCTAATAAACGAACGTATGAAACTGCTAGTGGTTCTGTACCAGAGGGTACTGATGAAGAACCGATACATAGTAAAAGGGTAAAAATGGCTAAAATGTTTGGACCTGATTTTATTACGTACATGTTGGACGATGAACCAAGTTCCCTTAAGGAAGATCTGTCCAGCCTAGATGGACCACTCTGGGAAGAAGTTGTAAATAGCAAAATCGAGTCCATTATGCAAAATCATACTTGGGAGTTGGTTGATCTTCCTGATGGTTGTAAACCTTTAGGATGCAAGTGGATCCTAAAGAAGAAATATAAAGCTGATGGATCGATTGACAAGTTTAAAGACGATTGGTGGTCAAAGGCTTTAAATAAAAAGAAGGGTATGATTTCTTTGATACATATTCACCAGTTACGCGTTTAGCATCGATAAGAGTGTTTCTCTCGATTGCTGCTTTGCACAATCTTGAGATTCACCAAATGGATGTCAAAACGGCATTTTTGAATGGCTAATTGGAAGAAGAAATATACATGGAACAACCTGAAGGATTTGTTGCACCTGGACAAGAGAGAAAGGTGTGTAGATTGATCAAATCTTTGTACGGACTGAAACAAGCTCCGAAATAATGGCATTTGAAATTTGATGACGTGATGTTGTCAAATGAGTTCAAAATCAACGAATGTGACAAATGTGTTTATGTCAAGAGTACATCAAATACATTTGTGATTGTATGTCTATATGTAGACGATATGTTGATCATAGGGAGTAGCCATGAAGTGATCATGGATACGAAAAGCATGTTGAAGAGAAATTTCGACATAAAAGATATGGTTTGGCTGATGTTATTCTTAGAATGAGGATTATCAGAACCCAAGATGGAATTGTCTTGTCACAATCTCATTATGTAGAGAAAGTGCTCAAGATATTTGATGTCTATGACGGTGCACAATCTAGGCATATGTTTAAGACACCCCTTGATCTCAGTATAAATCTGGTAGTCAACAAAGGTCAACCAGTAGCTCAGTTGGAATATTCACGGATAATAGGGAGTCTGATGTACTTGACAAATTGTACACGACCAGATTTGACCTATCCGGTGAATAAGTTGAGCAGATTTACGAGCAATCCCAGTCATGAGCACTGGAATGCTTTGAGAAGGGTACTTAAGTACGTGAGGTACACCCTTGAATACAGGCTAAAATACTCGAGATATCCAGCCGTACTTGAAGGGTACTGTGATGCAAGCTGGATATCAGATTCGAGAGATTCTCGCTCCACTAGCGGATATGTTTTCTGTATTGGAGGAGGTGCAGTTTCGTGGAAATCCACAAAACAAACGTGTATAGCTCGATCAACGATGGAATCAAAGTTCATCGCTTTAGATAAAGTAGGTGAAGAAGCCGAGTGGCTTGGAAATTTTTTATCTGATATTCCATGTTGGGATAAGACTTTGCCGCCAGTAATGACTCACTGTGATAGCCAAGCTGCTATAGGTAGGGCACAAAGCAATTTGTATAATGAAAAGTCTAGACATATTCGTCGTAGACATAATACCATACGCCAATTGATCACAAATGGTGTTATTACCATTGACTATGTGAAGTCTAAGGAAAATTTGGCTGATCCTTTGACGAAAGGATTGAATAGAGATCATTTGGGAGTTTTGATAGAGGGAATGGGCTTAAAAATCCACAATGTAAAGAATGATCATAGTGGTAACCCTACCATGCTGAGTGGAGATCCCACGAACTTGGTTCAAAGGGAAAACTAAGCTATGAAAATTCAGTTGAGCACTTGGAACATATGAATGTCCAAAGTTATTCCCTAGAGCACTCCAAGTGCAATATTACCTGTTGATTGTGGTGAGGGTAAGTCATATGGACTTTTAATGAATCCCTAACCTTGTAAAGGTAGAGTATTACATGATACTCTTGATAGGGAGGTCACCTATATAAGTGTGAAGTGTGGGCCGCTTCAAATATAAACACTTATGAATCCATTGTGTTGTTCATGGCCAAAACGGACACAACGATAGAACGAAATGGAGTTTAGACTTTATTGTGTGAATGTCATTGTCTTGGTGTACACTATGGAGGAATAGTTCAAGGCATTATGTCCACTAGGCCGCCAGTGCATCCGATGATGTTTACTAAGAAAGGTTCAAAGCCAAAAGCTACATTTTCTGATGCAATAGAGTTTAGTGAGGATTGAGCATAAGAGTCTGCTGACATTCAATTTTTACTCATGTGGGGGATTGTTATAATTGAGTGAAAATCGAATATATTATATTAATGTCATAGGTCCCACTTACAATTATTTATCAACTTGATTTGTACAATTGTGCATAAAGAAGTCTGATGATTGTTATCAGCCAATTGATTCTCATCCATTTGAAACCCATACCACATCATTTCCCATCCTTTTTTGAATTGCGTGAAGGAAACTGTCATCAGATTTGCCAATCCCATTTCCCAATTTGATCACAATAATCAATTTGCTCCCTCATCTTTCACTATATATATGTGTGTTCGGGCAGAATAAAGAAACACACAAGAGAAGAGAAAAGAGAGATAGAAAGATAAAAAGAAAGAAAAGAAAAATAAGATTTATATCAAAATATCGGATATAAAAATATCAAAAGAGAAGAAACAAGTGATATTTTTATTTTTAAGTGCTCAATTCTCGACTTCGTTCCCGTTCGCTGGAGCTCGTAAATCTGGTGTGCTACAGATTTAGAGACGTTTGTTGTTGTATCTTTGGGGAAGTTACGCATGAACCATTAACTGCCACACGGGGCGTATTCTTCTTGCGGAAAGGGTTTTACTCGCCTTGGCTAAAATCTTTCCGTTTTCCAGTTGTAATTTATTTCAAGTTAAATTGTAATTTTCTATTTTTAGATAATTTGTAAGAACTGAAAAATACATATCAGTTCGTAGGATTCCGTGTAATTTCACACCAAATTTATCCAACACATGTCACAAAGTACCTTATAGAAAATTAAGTTGTGCTTGTGTGTGTATGTGTCTGTTTGTGTGTTTATATGCATGTAGTCACTCAACAACCGGCATTCATATACTACAACAGCAGTCCAATATCCGAAACACGACAGTCAAGGGTCAAGATGTGATGGTCTCGGTCTCGGACGAGAGCTGGAGAGGCTCCAACGAGTCAACAATGTCCCTCATTAGAGGCCTCGCTTTCGGGTTGCGATTCAGACAGTGGTACGCAAGCATGGCAGCCTTGTGGAAGCCTTTCACAGGGTAGTCCCCTTCAAGCCGTGGGTCCACAATGCTCAGCACTTTCTTCTTCTCTCTCACCAATGGCACTGCCCAGTCTGTGAGGTTCTGCTCCCGGGCCGGCCTCGATTTATCCAGTGATTTCCTCCCTGTTAAGATTTCCAGCAGAACCACTCCAAAGCTGTACACATCGCTCCTCGGTGTCAAGTGGCCTCAACAAAGCAAAACAAATATTTTAGTCCCTAATCTAATCTTTTCTTCTGTTTGAATGAATGACAAACTGTGATGTATACCTGTCATTATGTATTCTGGTGCGGCATACCCGTAGGTCCCCATAATACGTGTAGAAACATGGGACTTGTCCCCCACCGGTCCATCTTTGGCTAGTCCAAAATCGGAAAGCTTTGCATTGTAGTCCTGTTGCATACTCTTATTAGCTAGCTAGATTCGTGGATTTAGACGCTATATATGTTTGAGAGTTTATATGTTTATAACTAACTCACCTGGTCCAACAAAATGTTTGACGTCTTGAAATCACGGTAGATGACGGGTTTCTCAGCTTCGTGCAGGAAAGCGAGTCCTTTTGCCGCACCGTATGCGATTTTCATTCTGGTGAACCAAGGCAGGGGAACAAACACTCCTGCACAAAATTTTGCGTATGCAGTGCTCATCATTTTGCTGCTCGTAACAATTTCATACTAGTCGGTGGTAGAAATCAGGATAATATTTGTTTGAGTTGCTTTTACATGCGATGCCGAGATCCTTGACGGGACATAGAATGTGCTAGAATTACTCATACACAAGAGCACACAAGAGAAAGGCATTTCTTTGGTAATAATTACAGTATATAACAACTTGGTTAGGCAGTGTATAAGTTGTATGAGTTACAACTTATACTAAACCTCATAGACAGTTAATCATTCATTGCTTGTTCAAGTTGAAGCTAAGTGATCATCATGTTGCTTATTGTAACTCTCCAAGATAATACAACTCATGTCACTGCCTTAACGAGTGAATCGAACAGAAACAATGAAAAACAGACTGGAGGAAGTTGATGAAAAACGTGAGGAGACAATTTGGACTTACTCGAGAACAGATTGTTTTCGACGCTACCTCTTGACATGTACTCGTATATCAAAACTCGATGCTCGTCCTCACAGCAGTACCCAATTAACTTCACCAAATTAGGATGAGAAAGTTGGCCCAGAAATATCACCTCAGCCTAAAATGCCACAGAGGGAGGGGAGTCCAGCTGAATAAATAATAATAACAACAACAATAACAATAATAATAATGAAATCCAATAACAATGTGGATGCAAATTTTTGACTCACCAACCATTCCCTATGACCTTGATAGCTATCATCTCCATCGTGAACCTTAACGGCCACGGGGCTCGGCTGCAGCCCCTGTCTTAAATCCTCAGAAATATAGCCCTTGTAGACGCTGCCGAAACCTCCTCCACCAACCATGTAATCCTGTCTGAAATTCTGAGTCATTGTCTTTATCTCGTCGAATGTGAAAGCGACGAGCGGGTTGGCAGCTGTTGACCGGCGCAAGTCCTCCACTTCTTCAGGGTTCGACGGCAGTTTAGTCGAGGGGGCCCGGCTCGTTTTCGCGGACGGGCTCTCATCCTTGGGAGATTCTGAAGGAAAAAATGTATAGGGGATGTGAACAATGGATAGAGAAGAAGTAAAGGAAATAAATTTTAACACAAGCATCCGTTTCTCTGTAATTTTTGGATTAAAGATGGATAAGATGTGAAAAAACAGAGTATTGAATATAGGGACAGAGTGAAATGTACTAAATTCAACCTTAAAGACAAAAGTTTGAAAAGACAGATAAAATCAAGAGTTACTAAAACCAGAAAAAACAAGAAGAGAGAGAGAGAGAGAGAGAGAGAGAGAGAGAGAGAGAGAGAGAGAGAGAGAGAGAGAGAGAGAGGAAAACAGACCGGGCTTGGCATTGGATGAAAGCCCATAAATTGAATTCTCCCATCCACACCAGCAGTTACCCATCACACACAAAAACAACAAAACAACCACAAAATCCAAAAGAAAAAAAAATAAAAAATAAAAAATAGACTCTCTTAATATATATACATATTAGCTCAAAAATATGATCAGTGTAAACACACCTGGTATGAATAAGAACGAGAGAAGAAGAAAGGACAGAGAAGAAGAAAAAGAAAAAAAAAAACCCAAATGTGAAATGAGCTGATTTTACAAAGTGAGATATAGTGTGTGCGTGTATGTGTGTTTGTGTTTGTTGTTGATGTCAATGATAGCTCCGCTTTGTGCGCTTTAATTGTTTTCGCAGTGCGTATAAGGTGTTGATTGGTTGCAGATGGTGTTAGTGCGTGAGTATTTGAGCGCATTTTTGAAATTTTTTATCCCCCACCAAATTCAAATCATTCTAACTCTTTTCTGACTTTTTTTGGTACAGGGACCTTCCAGTTTCCGGATCCACATGGGAACCGACTAATCCGGAAT